TAGTGGGGCCTCATAGGATTCACCACTTCAGGTCCCGGGGCTTAGGTTACCGGTTTCCATTACTGAATGGCAGGTCCTCGTGACTATGGGGTTTACTCCGTCTGCTGTTCACCACATGAAAGCGTGTAGTAAAAAATGCACTTGTTCCAATCAACTCAATCAACCGGTATCCAGTAGTTACCTTAGTGTGAGACCACGAATCACCCTATATTCTTCATCTAACCTTGACAATACTAGCACAATCACCCTGATCGCTGTTGTTCTTATGCCAACGGAAATTGGACGAGCAAATGAAGCAAAAGAGTGTAGTATACTTATTGATAAACAGCAGATATAGGTAAATCTTCCAGTCCGGGTTAGAAAAAGTGTTATTACCATAGTAAAGTTTGCATTTGTGTTACCATAATAATCTTGTGGGTTATTGCACCAGTAGGCCAGAGAAACTAGGACAGTTTGAACAGCCGCACTTCGATTTTTCGCATACACAAATGGGATTAGAAAAAAAAAAACAAAGACGGAAAATGATCAATCAGCAATATAACAGACAAACGGTACTCTCCAAGAACTGGTGCGCTGTTTCACTACACCACAGACTGGAAAGTGCGATACGCACTTACAGTCTGTCCCAGTGTTCAGCTTAATTCACGTTTTTCTAGTCCACCTGGAATCTGTTGTCTCAGGTGATAGATGCACTGACTAGTCCTCAGTAGGTTTTCGACTGAGCAGAACGGTTCAGGTGACTGGTTTACATTAGAAAACAAGTTTTTCTCCACTCGAACTACCCCACACCAACACACTTAGTAGAAATCATCAAAGGTAAGGAAGTCGAGTGTTTCGGTTTTCAAATATCTGAAATCCAGGAAATTTTCAATTGGCCAGTAGGGAAAACGAAGTTCGATTGTGCATAGGAAACACAAAAATAAAATGTCCGAATTTCCAGTAAGATGCTACTGGCTCAAAACACGGTTAGCTTTTAGAATGAATTTAGCACCTACCGGGTTCCCTCCCAAATGGATCCTAACCTACGGTTGGAACTTGGCCATTAGGTGTTGAGAATATAAGCAACCGGGAGATACCTGATCACTGATGAATTCATCGAGTCGCCAAGCTGGTATAATAAAGAAACAAATAGTTCCTCATTATTTTAGTGTTGATGTATTCTTTGAGCTGGACGTGTTGTTTGCAGACATTTTGTAGCCAGGATGGGATCAAATTCTTATAGAAAAGGGAACAGAACGGACAATTACCCTTCCTGAATGTATTGGTTGAACGAATTAAAGATCAGCAACTGGAAACCGACGTCTACCGAGAACCAACCCACTTGGATTAGATGCTCAGCTTTAAGATCAACCAAAATGTGACAAATACAAGAGAAGTTGCATGCAAACGCTTTTCCAACGAGTAAAAAACGCACTGTAACACTCTCCAGCTTCAACAGGTAGAGGAAGCCCACCATTTCGAGATCTGTGGATGACACTTCTAGATCGGAGAACACACCAACACCAAAATCCGCAGTCCGAGTTACAATCATTCCACATTATTTCCAGTTTCCCATTAGGATGCTTCTGGGACATTAGGCGATTGTTGCACCTTCCACCCTGAAGACGCCAGCAATGACTGGGCCATGTTCTACATAAGNTACTGTACTCGAGTAGGTGGTACTATATTTGTGACAGTTAAAATGTCTTTGTAAAATCAAGTCGGACGTGGAACATTTAGGACTCCAAATAGCCTACAGTCTTCGCCGGTCGAACTAAGACTGGGTCTCAATATGCATCGATCTCGGCTTCGGTTGTCGTTCGTGGACAACTAATATCCACTAGCTCATACAACGAGACGCATAAAAGGGAAAGAAAGTATGCACGATGCCAATGCCCGTGGCGGTGAAAATTTTCTCGCCATCCTCGGAAAGCGTTTGTGACTATCTGGGTTGTGGGGGGGACGGGACGGGGACGAGCAGAGATTTTATTTGATATTTTATCCTTGAAAATCGTTTGTTTGTTTTTCAAATGTAAAAGGACAGAAGTACGGAAGTACGAAGGAGAATTTTTGTTCTCATACTCACCAGGCTATGAGCGGGGACAAATGACCCCTCAACAGGGTGATAAGCAAACGGAGCCAGCTCAAACTCAAAGACAAAGTAAAAACAAAATTATTTGTTTGTGATGCAACAGTTGTTCACTATTAAAGACATGGTTTCCCTTTTTCGCTCCTGGATTATTCTTTCCAATAGCGAGACCCGAAAAAGTCAGTCGAAACCGAAAATGAGACAAAGCGACACAAATCGAATGTCGAATGTGTCTGGATAAAGGCGATAGACTTCTCAAACCGATAGCTCTCCCATAGGCAGAGAGAGGGGCAGATAAGAAACCCGGCCAGTGAAGACAACGGTAACCGAACGGGTTATGAGAATGTCGACATCTGGGCTTAGTTATACGGGGTTTTGTTTGGTGGTTGTTCCATCTCACTCGTCTGCCAAACGTGCCGGTTAGGCACATCTATTTGTTCCGCAGTGATTAGGCGAAAAACAAAACGATCCGAACAAGATTGCGGAGACTGTGCTCAACACAGCTGAGAATACCCGTGCAGAACAGAATGAGGTGCATGCATCGGGAGGACTATTTTGTTAAATGAATCGTAAAGTAAACAGAACACACACACTCGCGAAGCATGTGTGAACGCGAATAGATAAACCTGGTGAATGAAGTTGTGAGATGTGAGCGTTTCTGGTAGAGTTCGATTAAGATTGCATGGCATATTTTGAGCAAATGATTGACTAATGTCCCTGGGGTGTGAATGATTACAATCGGATGATGTGCGAGAGAAGATATGGGATAGAGATAATCAAGTGTAAAGTTCTTACGGGTCGAAGATAAACGAGGAATGTCAGCGTTAAGACACCGTTGTCTGTGCAGCATCACACAGGGCTGTAGGCGTACAAGCAATGTTGGATTTAGTCGAAAAACAACATTTAATCGCGGTTGCACACAGTCTCAAGCGCTACGGTGGCTGGGGTGAGTTTTACACTACATTATTTGTCGATGAAACTGGCGGCCAAGATAGATAGATGGAGAGAGAAACCACGACCGCAGTACAGAAATGCCGGGTGAGCGGTTTTGCAAACTGATTTGAACCAATCCATTCCGCTGGCAACATTTTAAAATTGGAACATGGCTAGTTCCATGCTCAAATCATCCGCAAAGGTTTCCAACTGACCTGAGGCCTTATTCTGCATTAAAATGTCGTCTAGATGTTCCATGTCAGAATGCATGAGGCAGGCTAAGAGCATATCTATGTCACTATTCTCACACGACCTGTTTCCAGAATCAGATTCACTGTGAACTTGAATAAACATGAGCAGAATGTGGGGAACCCCGACAAACAGCGCATTCCGTGGTGAACTCGGGCAAAAAAACCGAACGGTCTAAATTCTCTTGGTCTAAAGGATAGGCTGACAAGGAACATCTACGAAATATGGAGTGGATCAGTGTGCTGATGGGAAGCAATGAACAAACAATTCCTTTTGAGTACGTGCCTTTTTGTGTGATGAACAGCAGACGGAGTGAACTCCGTAGTCATGAGGACCTGTTTTTCATTTATGGAAATCTGCAACTTAAGCCCCGGAACCAACCACATAAGGGGTTAGACGTGGAACTGAACCTACCAAAGTTGACTAGCGGCGGAGGGGGTTCGGAAAGGCAATTTAACCACTCGTGTACGGAACCAGTTGTGCCTACGTTCCGTTCACGGTTTGATAGATACAACCACGCACAGGCAATCACTATTCTATTAGGCGTGATTACTAACACAATTACCGCACGAATTTCTCATAACCCCAACTGACCAGAGTTCAATTTTATTATTCACCTAAGCGTGACGAACGGGTGTAAAGGTGATGTTGTGTAATAGAATTGTGTAACTTAGGTCCCCGAGGATTTGGAATGAAGGAAACCGTTCAGTCTGTTGGGTAAACACAACCGTGAGTCTGTTTGATGGCCGTGGATTAGAGCAGTGAAACCGAGAAAACCGGCGCGCAACCATGCGAGCAACCTAAACTTCATGCTGTTCATTCACCACGATCGATTTGTATGATGCGGTGACCTGTGTTAAAAAGGACGCAACTTGTTGCATGCATACTGAAATGTGAATGTCGGTAAGTGGGAACCAAACGAAGTCGACTAACTGAGCTGGATAGGTGCATAGGAAGTGTTTAGACGGGAAATGTTTGGATTAGCCCATTCGGTTTTTTTCACAGACACCAGACACTGTTGATGATCTTGGATACGAGGTTTCACTACTTGGGAGATCGTTAATTCCCCACTAGGTAAATGCATTTGAATGCGATGGAAATGTTTGTGATGACCGACAAAGCGCACTTGGATGGCTGTTTCGTCCTGTTTGGGACTCATCAGCAGTGCGTATGTTTTGTGTCCCTGTCAGGACTCGAACGATGAACCCTCGGGTGGGGACTACAAATTCTTACCCCTGAGCTACACAGTCGACGGTCATCACCTTGTGCGAATGGCTCATTCAATTTAAACAGGATACGAAACCATAAAGGTTGCCCAAAAGTGTGCGCTACATGAACCCACATACCTGTTCCATCTTTGGCCAAAATCTCGTCAAACTTTTCCACAAATCGCATCATTTCCACACTGTCCTCGAAATCGTTGAAATGATTATGCACCCACAGGAGAATGATTCGATTCACACGGGCACGCAGCTTGGGGCTGTGCAAGTGCCATGACAACAGACGATCCACAATTGGTCGTGGGGAGTCAAGAAATGTTCGATAGGTGAGCAGAAAATCCTCCGGATAGGTGATATCCAAATTCGACAGATCGGCTATGAGATGTTCAATCAATTTTTCTGGGGTACCCTGGTCATTTTTATAGAACAGAAATAGTGAAAAAGAGAGAGATAAATGTGACATCAATACTGACAGACTAGAGAAAACGAGAAACAATGCACGCTGAGGATTATTTTTCGTACTGATATTCGAAATGTATTAAACCATGGTATTCGATTGAAGTAAGTCATGCAAGGTATATAAGTGAAGGAATGTATAAACTACGTATCCAATTTATGCCCTAAAAAACAACGGTTACTTCCAATGTCAATGAGACCATGTGTTTTCTATTCCCACCCCCGGGAATCGGTCTCAGAGACGCTATCTTATTTAAGACACGTGTTAGGGAAAGGTTAGTCGCGATCTTCCCGTGATGACTGGAATGAGGGGGCTGATGAGCCACGAGAAGCTATTTCATCTAGCGAGGCTGGCAAGCCCTGATTTCGAACATAAAAAAGAAGAGGCGAGAAAACCGGGTGCAACAATGATATCAATACGCTTCAGTTGTTCATTGCGAGAAAAAAGCCTCTGAGAAAGATTTGAAAATCGGAAAGTGTTGCACTCACGAACAGGTCTTGTGCATGTGTTTTAGGACTCAACTGGCACGACGTGATTGACAAAGTCTGAACGTAGAAAAGGGGGAAACAAAGATAAGGCGCGAAACGCTTCTTTCTGTTGCACTAAGGGTTCCTCACACTATAACCAGGAGTTTGTTGAGACTTCGCATATTGTGTATGCCTTCCTCATTACGAAAGTCGTGCAAATTGCATAAGAAACTATACGGAACGTACAAATAGAAATTTTTCTACACGAATTACAATTCCTCTCGATGCATTTGGGAAGATGCCAGCCAAGGTGCCTTTCAAACCTCAAATCATTTCCCATGTGGAGCATTTGGTACATTCGCCTGACGCTCAGATCAAAGCTAAGAGAACAGTTTAAGGCACTGGTGTTCGAACAGCAAGCCTGTCATTCTCCTATTCTCGTCATGTCCAAGTTTCTGTACTGCATGGCAATACCGGGTGAACTGCTACAGTAAACACTCGACCATTCACGGAAGACGGATGTAGCGCAGGTGCCACAGATGTCGTGAGTTGACAAACGCCAATCGAGCCTTCTGTATGCGAGCCTACACTTCATCCACGATACGTCCACAAGGTGAGATATGACTGTTCAAATAACAAAACTTGATCTGTTACTTCCTTGGTTGAAGTGAAGCTGCGAGCTGGAAAAATTCAGCCGTCTAGAAATATTTTACACTTTGAAGGTGCAAAACATATGCCGACTATAGCTATATTACCACTCAAACTACTCAGAGCAGCTTGCAACTTACTCGAATCTTCATTTAGCGGTACAATGTCATCTGAGTACCCCAGATCAGAGAGTCTATCATCCAGGAGCAACTCGATGCCACTATTCTCGCACGAGGACAGGAACCCAAGTTAAATAGAAAAAGGGCGACCCCGACGGGATCATAATGTTCAAATAAACTTCTCGGACACACCCTTCAAGAAAAGGCTGCGCCAGAGTTTAGTGAAGTCAACTGAGTCGAAGGTCGCTTGCCGAGCAAAAAAGGCGTTCAGTTCATCGGATCATACGTCCCTTGGAAGGAGCCAAACGGTCGAGGAGCATATTGTGCCTCCAAGCTCAAATGAACCGGTGACCCCTGCCACAACCAGGAAGGCGTGGATGAGTGTGGTTCATACATCAGGTCTTGTTTGGTTTGAAATCAGGGTTGTTAGCCGAATTCCCTAGGTGAACTGCCAGTAGTTCACCAATCAGTTTATAGCCCCCGGGTCGTTGGGTCTTCGTCATCTCAATTTGGTGAGATCACAACTCTACCATAGGAAGGCAGTTTAGATCGCCTCCTCTGCTTGGTCTAAGAGCAATATTTCGTGAGATGCAAGGTCAGGGTGATTAGCCACAACCTGAGACACTTAATCCTGACCATACGGAGGTTTCCGGAATCTCCTAAATAAGTATACTGTGACAATTGTTCTGCAGCGGAGACACTTGGGTAAAAGGGTGAGCAGAACGGTGGGAGGTTGGGGCTAGGGGCTTTGAAGCGTTTCGCGCACTACACATAATAAACACACACAGACACACCGCTAACGGGCCAATCACAAGGGGACGTGGACAACTATCGAACGAACAAGTGTCAAAACGATAAAAACGATACAGCTCGAACAGTTCCGGTCTCATAAACCAAGTTAGTATGGTCTCACAAGCAGTTGGCCATAGGATCTGGTTCGGTATTCTCTTTCAACCAGTCAGTCTATCGGGGATGCACTACAGCCTGTGCTGGGGCTGGCTTTCCCATACAGACAATGTGTCTAAACGACTCCCTCCATATGGCAGACTGGTTGCCTTCTACGAAAGACGAGCATTAGTGTGTGTGTGTGTGTGTGCGGAGGGCACAGAGAAACGTGGATGAGTAAAAACGTAAAACACAAAAGTCACAAAAGTTTCAGCTCCTCGGTACTGGGTGGATAATACCAAGTGAAAATCAGAAATGACTCGGATGACTAAGCCGAGAGTAGAAGGCACAAACGACGAGACCAAGCACGTGGTGAGAAAGCGACCACATTGCAGTTGGAGCACAAATAATGATTGGGCGGACCTAGACAACAGTTAATCCTAACACGACGAGTCTTCGTGTGAGAGGCTAAAGGTTTGGCATAGCTCAGCTTCGGTTTGTTTGTACAGAGAGAAGCACTACATTTCTGTGCTACGGATCTGTCTGGTTAACGAATCAAGAGTGAAAAGGACAAGTTGATATAGAAGCAAACTGTTGGATATTGTGCTGTACCGAACACCTGCGAAACAACTAGCACGTATCTGTTCAGTTTATCAGTACAATACACACAATTGTTCTCACGGTATTGTTCCCATTTCTATTGGGCAAATCCACGGGATGCAGCTTGTATCACTATATGCGAATCAATGCGATGATAAATTCATCGTAAGTGAATCAACACGTAATCGGTCGAACGTTCAATGCTCTCAGTGCTAAGGTTCGTCGAGGCACTTGTTGGGAACCGGTTGAAGTAGGACCGTTGCGTGCACCTCTAGGTTATGAATAGAGAAACGGCCACCTATTTGATCACCGTAAATAATACATCTGAATAAGAGTGTCGTGGATACCAAGAGGCGATGTGGCGCGTTTCCACCAAAACAAATCGCGACAGATGCTCACAAGAAGCAAAGTGACATGCAACTATCTAACTANATCTAACTAGCCAATAAACACAGAGACAGCTGAAACTGACCAGATAGCAGTTTGCTGTGGAAGAACCAGAGGTATACGGCCACTTTGCGCTACAATCGGAATCTTGGGAACCCAAGTCGCCTGAACATAAAAATAAAGTCATCCCACATCATACATCCTTCGAGAAAGAAAAAGAGATAAAGAGATGTTACCTTAAACAGTCAAATAAATATGAAAGTAACGTATAATATAGTCGAGAATTCAAAAGGATAAACAGACTGTACAACACTTCTGAACTGATATACCCATTTCAAATTGACATGAATGTGATGGGTACATGTTTGGCCGTATGATAGATACATGTAGGTGCTTAAGACTAACCAGAAATACTATATCCTGTTCGTGTATAAGACACACACACACACAAGCTCTTGATTATCGATAGACGCGACAGAGATTGGAGAATCTACAGACTGGTCCACTTTAATGTGATCGAGACCGGAAGCAGTCGAGATGCCGAAGTCCACAGATAGGGTGTATCGATCACTGTTAGACCAGTGGGATCGTGCGTTTGCACAGAGAGAGAAGCGATGAGGATCATCGGGTCGAATTAGTACGAGAAAAAACTGGAGTGCGTAGAGAACACCAGATGACCGGATGGCTCAATGCGGTTCCTCCGTGCTCGTCCAATCTAAGTGTCATTTGGTTATTGAGAAACGGTGCCATGTAGCACCGATTGGCACGGACATCGGATTGAATGGTGACGGTGATGATGACGATTAGAATATTATTCCAGTCAAAACCAATCAAAGAAACAGTGAAAAACAGACCGCCAGTATGCGTAAACCAAACCATCAAAAATTCCACGGTAAACCAGTTCGTCTAATTGCACTACTGAGCCAAAAAAAACCCGGCCCATCATAGAGCTGTGGAAAAAACGATAGTTTCGGGTGCGCACAAACAGCTTTGTGAATGCCAAATCATGTCGGATTTAATCGGATTTCCGTTGATCTGTACCTAGCCGATTTTGTCCACAGTTTACACCTGAAGAATGTAGGCAAGCGAATCGGGAGGGTGCTTCAGAGCGAACTTGCTCACGAGATTATCGCCATTTTTGGTGGACGGTGAATGGAGAAAAGCATTCCCACTCGACCAGAGCTCGTCCGACACGATTCGATTAGATGTTCTCCATAGTGTGTGTGATGCCGATTATACTGAGACTTATCGAAAAGACGTGCCTGTTCCGAGCGACACGATGTACGACACTACAAGAGTCTGATGGGATGACCCGAAAAACAATGACGTGGTTAGACACAGAGTAAGTACTAGGTAGGTAGTCGCGGACAAGCACTAAAGTAAACACGTGAACTTCACAGATTGCGGAGGCTGCTAGGTAATTCGGGTGTTTGATAAGTTCACATGGAGTGTGATTTTCGCCAGGGCAGGTAGTAGTTGGAATGAAGCAAAGGGTGAGTATGACCTGGCATGAAAGTATGAAAAACTATACCGG